CCCCTTTTCACCGGGCAACAAAAAACGCAATCGCATCTTCACCGCCAATCGATGGGAGGGTGATTTTGCGAGGCACCAACCAAGTATCTTCACACCCTGGACAGAGAAAAGATATTGACGCAGCCGGTAGGATTCGAACCTACGCGTCCGAAGACATAAGATTTCTAGTCTTACCCAATAACCACTCTGGCACGGCTGCACTTGTTGGATGTGAAACCGAAAATCAATGTTAATAAAAATTAATTAAAGATCGGATAGGATAGGATAGGATTGGGTAAAAGAGGGTAGGATAAGATAGGATAGGATAAGATAGGATTGCATAGCTGCACCTGCTGAACCAATAGAAAAGGAAAAGCTACGCTATTATCGTCCGATGGCATTGATGAAGATGGATAGATACTTGCTCAAAAGCATATCCTCACCGGTACCCAGGGTCAACCCCCGGACCTTCAGCGTCCCGGGCCGCGTTCACCCGTTAGGCTACTATTGAAAAAATCCTAAAATTTCGGTTCCAGAAGTTTCCGTGATAATCAATCTTTGTATACCTCAACTGAATATGGAAACAAAGGAACCTCAGCTGAGTTCAGAAGTGTCAACTGCTAAGGGAAGCATGCACACAGGCATGCAGACCTGCATGACACTCTCCATGCAATCTCCAATCTTAAGCACATGATTCCTAGGTTGCAGTGTCTGATTATAGAAAATACACTATCTTGATACCACACGATGTGCAGAAATTACCAAAGCACCCTGACCACTGCGCACCCCTAACATTTTGAATCGAGTATTTCCATTGCGTAGCCATTGCGCACCCTCATGATCATTCACATCCAAACATTTTTAAATTGCACACTGCGCACCCTCATTGCGCACGCCATCACCCAAAACCTGGGCTTTTTTCCACTATTTGCGCAACCCTCATGGAGCACCCTGATTGACAGCTAGAATGCATTTCCCCATTCCGCAAATTACTTGCTCTCCAAGCAGTTCATGTCCTCTGGCCTGGCACCATGCGTCTTCACTCTGCATCATTACCGTTGACTTGGCACCATGCGCCACCTGTTTATTCTTTGTTGCTCTTTGTGCTTCCTTTTCTCCTCTAATCCATCCTCTGATTGCTTCACGATGCTTTCCTTCCCCGTTTCTCCTCCTTTACGATTGTCTCTCTTTCCCTCCCCCTCGCACCTATCCTTCGCATGACAAGCAAAACAGTAATATTTATTATCTTGCACAGGAGGAAAAAGATTTAAAGTAGTGGACGTCACGTCAAAATTCTAGGAAGGGGGCCCAAAGGGAACACCCACCTCCCCTCTTCCCCATAAACTGCCCCCCTCTCCACGATTATCCTCCTTATCCCCTTATGGGTATCAATCTGCATACTTATCGCAATCAATCATTGAGTTGGAGCAGACCAATTGATAAACAAACGCCCATGCAAACCTGACCTTCCAGACACCCACAACTGGCTTGCAAGTCCATCAACTGCCCTTCTACTTTATAACGTTAAGGCTTTGGCACTTACCTCAACATCACTGACTCGCAAAGTGCGCAACGGGACACAGAACGAGGACCAGACTTGTCCTTACACGATGTTCATCTATCAAAAAACATTAATATTGTTCATCATTAATTTCCTCAATAATTTTTCAAATGATACTCAGAACATTAATCAACTAACAACTGTCAGTTCACGTTGTATTTTCCCTTCCTTTAAAATTAGGATAGGGTTGAATTTTTCGCAAAGGAAAAAAATAGGTCAGCTTGTATGGAAAGAGCCTAGACCAGCTGCAGCTAATTAGACAGAGTCCATGTAAAGTAAAAGTAAAAGTAAAAGTCTACGCTGGCACGTACCAGCGTGCATTAAGGAAAGACCCAACAGTTAGCACTGGCACTAACAGTGAGCCCCATCAAAAAAGGCCAGCTATGAGCAGCCCAGCTAATGAGGGTCCGGCAGGTCGTCGACCATCCATACGGCTGCGTGCCTCGCTGTCTTGTCCGCAGCCCTCCCTAAAGCCCCCTCCCCCAAACCCCTATTGTTTATGTTACTGAATTGGATGGCACTTTTGGTGTTGTGGATTTTTATTAGGGACATTACAGCGTGATAGTGGAGTTCTTTCAAAGCCAAGTTGGCAGTTTTGTGAGCTTTGTCTCTGGTTAGGCCAAGTTTGCAGAGGGGATCAACAGTGCAGGGATTGAAGATAATTCCAGCAATTCCATGTGCTTTTGTGGCTGCTTTCTTGTCCTGGATGGACGCTGGTAGTCCTGCTGCCTTGGAGGCGGCTCTCTCTCCGGCGGCTGACCTGCGAGTGCAAAGAAAACCTAGGAAAGGACTGTTGCATTGTTTCAGCAACAGATGGCTGAAGTATTTTAAAACAGATTTTTGTTAAAGGTTTTCCCAATAGCCTTTCACTACTTGGGGAGCATCTTTTAAAAAAGAGAGTTTTTTGCTGGCTCCTTGGTAGCTCCCCAAATTGGAAAGCCTTCCCCTCTTAATCAAGTACTTTTTGGTCTCCTTATGGGACTTTGCAGTTTTAAGCTCATGACCCATGATGTAATCAACTTCAAAATAGGCTTGGCCACTCTCAACATGTACTGGAGGCATTGGCTTTTGATTGCGGCTAGAGAACAATGTGGCACCTCAACTTTTCTGAGCAAATTGATGTGGAATACGTTGTGGCATAAGTGTTCCATTTTCAGAGTGAGGTTTTGTGTTGAGAGTAGAACCATGTTTCCAAAAGAAAATTCTGCTTCTCTCCTCTTTTGATCAGCATACTTCCTCTGCCTCTGCTATGCTCTGTGCAGAGCATCTTTGGCTCTGGCTAAGCTCGTCTGAAACCTGCCAACAAAGTCAAGTGCTGCAGGATTGTTGTCACGAGAGTTAGGCTGAAGAGTCGCCAATGTCATGGACAAGGGTGTGTGAGGATGACGCCCTTTGTTTATATAGAATGGTGTGAAACCAGTGCTGGCTTGGACACTATTGTTATAAGCAAATTCTGCTGCTAAGAGGTGTTGACCCCAATCAGTTTGATAAGGTGCAATGTAGGCTCTGAGCATGTCCTCTACTGTCCTGTTAGCTCGCTCGGTCTGTCCATCAGTTTGGTTACAGGGGTGAGATGTTGACATGTTCAAGTTGGTACCCAGGCGTCTGAACAAAGCTTTCCAGAAATTTGAGGTAAAGCGAGGGTCCCTGTCAGAAACAAGTGCTTTTGAAAGACCAAAATGCCTGAAGATGTTGCCAAAGAACAGGTTGGCATAGCCCACAGCATCGATAGTGCATGAAATAGGCACAACCAAAATCCTTTTGACAAGTGGTCCACAAAGGTAACAATAGCATCATTGCCTCTTGGAGTTTTGGGCAGGCCTGTAATGAGCTCGTGGCTCACCTGTTCCCAGCAACGGTCAGGTAAGGATAAGGGTTGTAGGAGTCCCATGGGTCTCTGGTTGGGTGATTTGTTGCGGAGGCCTGCATACAGGTATGGTTACAAGGTTACAATTGGGTTTGACCTTCAGCCAGGTTGTTTGGCCGCTCGGCCTGATGAACTGTTCCATCCAAAGAATAAATATCCATGAGATTAGAAATAAAACGATGAGTCTCATTAGTTTGATCCTGTAAGAAATGAAAGACATCCTCAGAACTAGCCTGAGTGTAGTAAAAAGCGCCTGTCTTGTCATGAAGAACTCTGTGAGCAGAGGGGAAATCAGAAAAGAGATGTTCATAAGTCCTTCTAAGAGAGCACACAGGACCACAGGAACACAGGAACACAGCATGTTTTTCATCTTGAAGTCCTCCTAGATCACATTTATCACAAACTGAAGTGTGCTCCTGTCAAAGTGATGTCTCAACTCTTAGGGTGTGTGCATGCAATCGAGAGCGTGCGTATACAGGTAAGCACACAGTTATGCACAGATTGAAACGTGTGTGGCCAGTAGCACAGGAGTTGTACATTTTCATGTGTCTTGCATACGCCAAAGTGTCCTCCTGAGGGAGCATCATGAGCTTCCTGAATGAGATGTATACAAACCTGACCATCGGGAATGTACAAGCGAGGTGGTGTGTGAGGATCTGGTATGTACCAAACAAGGCCATCTTGATCTGAAAAATCAGGTTAATTGACCTTCTTGAGCAGATGCAAGAGCAGAGGCATACTCAAGGTCCAAGAGGGCATACTCTTTCATTTGAATAAATGGTCAGTGTCATCAGAAAAAATGTGACATTTTGAGCGTATTGAAAGCGGGTTGGATGGATGGCATGTCGGAAATGGGGGGGCTGATGCTTGCGCTTGCACCGCAGCCCTCTCAGACACCATAGACATTGCATTTCCAGATGCCAGGGACCCATTCCACAATCTTTTACTGGCTTTCATTGAAGTCCTCTTCCTCACGAGATGATAGCATACACCGCTCCAACGCTTTCCTAATGCACTACCTCACCAACCTGAACGACATACTTAAAGCACACATGCATAAAAAACACAAGCTTGGCTCTGCTGACACCTCTGGCTACCACTACCAGAGATGGCAGAAACTTAATGATGCAATACCACCAACTACCATTGCAAGTATTGAATCTCGCAACCCAACCTCTTAACTTGCAAACAAAGAGATCAGTAATTCCTTCTGGGAAAATCCAAGGGTTACATACCTTTAAAGAGCAAATACATATAATGAAGTATCGTACGGATACACTGTACAATCAGGGTTATGCCTTCAAATTCAACTCTTCCAGTAATGGAAGATGCCCACTATGTGATGATATGGACCACATTGACCACATACTCCTCAGGTGTACGAACTCAATAGTGAGCGGGATGCACACCAACAGACACAATGCAGCCCTCCAGATCCACATTAGCCTTATTTTTTTCATATTTCGTGGTAAAGGGGGCTCACGGCTTGTTGGGCCAAAGTGTCTCCTTTTCCTTAATAAATGTGAGGAGAGTTTCTCCGCGTATATAGGTCTTTTTTCCTTTTTCTTCTGGGGTATGAAAGGTCCCTGGAAGCTCTCTAATCCAGGATTCTGGTTACGTCATTTAGAAGGGCAAATCTATCGTGTGCTTCTTGAAAGTAGAAGCCTGTTTCCGCTTGTATGCTCACACCCTAGAGTTGAGACTGACCACTGGCAAGGGCATGCACCACAATAATGTATGTGTGATTAAGAAAGCTTTCAAGATGAGAAACATGCTTGTTTCCACTGATTCT